GCATCCGCTAGCTCTCGCCCGGCGCAATTATTTAGTATAATCAGGTCTTTAACGTCCCTTGAGGGACAGCCAAATTTAAATAACAATTTGACACACAGCTGTGAGGCATTTGCGAGCTTTTTGCGGAGAAGGTCTTGTTGCTCCGCCATGACCTCCCTGCCAATTTGGATACAATAAAGGAACTGGAGGCCCCTCGACTGTCCTCGGGTCCAGTATTGGACCACTTCAACCGGATATCCCCAGCCGATGTGGACAGACTCCTCCGAGCTGGAAAGCCCACCACCTGTCCTCTCGACCCGTGCCCGTCTTGGCTGATTAGAGCGTGTCCAGACGAGGTGCGGGCCCTCCTGGAGGATATCATCAATTTGTCCCTTGGCACGGGGACATTCCCAGGGGAACTGAAGGAGGCAGTGGTGCGCCCGCTCTTAAAGAAAACATCATTAGATCCTTTAGATCTATCCAATTACCGCCCGGTTTTGAATCTTCCGTTCCTGGGTAAGGTGATTGAGAGAGCAGTTGCTGAACAGCTTGGTGGGTTTCTGGATGAAACATCGGCTCTGGATCTATTCCAGTCCGGCTTCCGCGCTGGTCATGGGACCGAGACGGCTCTGGTTGCCCTAACAGATGATCTTCGTAGACAGCTGGATCGAGGTGGGTCGGGGCTGCTGATTCTTCTAGATCTGTCAGCAGCTTTCGACATTGTTGATCACGAACTTCTGGACCACCGCCTTGCCGACGTGGGGATCCAGGGCACAGTCCTTCAATGGCTGTGCTCGTTTCTCTCTGGTAGGGGACAGAGGGTGGCGCTTGGGGGGGAATTGTCATTGCGCCACTCCTTGGTGTGTGGAGTACCTCAGGGTGCGATACTCTCCCCGATGCTTTTCAACATCTTTATGCGCCCCCTCGCCCAGCTTGTCCAGAGTTTTGGGCTGGGTTGCCATCAGTATGCTGATGACACCCAGCTCTATCTGTTGATGGATGGCCATCCTGACTCTGCCCCAGACACACTGACCAGATGTTTGGAAGCTGTGGCTAGATGGTTACGTGGGAGCCGGTTGAAGCTAAATCCTTCGAAGACAGAGGTCCTGTGGCTGGGACGGGACGATATGGGATTGGGGGGGGGCAACTCCCATCTCTTGCGGGGGCGCAATTAGTGCCAGCACCGTCCGTTAAGAGTTTGGGTGTAATCTTCGACACCTCCCTTTCCATGGAGGCGCAGATTGCAGCTACAACAAAGGCGGCATTTTTCCATCTCCGCCAAGCTAAGCAGTTGGCTCCTTACCTCTCTCGCCCTGACCTAGCCACTGTGATCCACGCGACGGTCACCTCCAGACTGGATTATTGTAACTCGCTCTACGTGGGGCTGCCCTTGAGACTGACCCAGAAACTCCAGCGGGTGCAGAATGCTGCAGCGAGACTCCTTACGGGGTCTTCGCTGCGAGATCACATTCACCCGGTGCTATACCAGCTGCACTGGCTCCCGGTGGAGTACAGGATCAGGTTTAAGGTGCTGGTTTTAACCTTTAAAGCCCTATATGGCCTAGGACCCTTGTACCTACGGGACCGCCTCTCCTGGTATGCCCCACAGAGAAACTTACGGTCTTCAAATAAAAACATCTTGAAGGTCCCAGGCCACAGAGAAGTTAGGCTGGCCTCAACTAGAGCCAGGGCTTTTTTTGGCCGTGGCTCCGATCTGGTGGAACACTCTGTCACAAGAGACCAGGGCCCTGCAGGACTTGACATCTTTCCGCAGGGCCTGCAAGACAGAGCTGTTCCACCAGGCCTTTGGCCAGGGCACAGCCTGACTCCCTCCCTCGGCAATCTTCGCGGAGCTCTGGCCCAATGGTTGCCAGTGGCTTGAATTAATTAATTTTATAATGAATGATTTTAGAGTGTTGTTTTTGCTGTACTTTTGTACTGTTTTATTGTTGTTAGCCGCCCTGAGCCTGGCTTCGGCTGGGGAGGGCGGGATATAAATAAAATTTATTATTATTATTATGAGGTGACCACCTCACGTTCGCCAATGGTGGTGTGGTGCCTCGAGGTTCGGTAACCAGAATACAGGGGGGAAGACAGTCAGTCACTCTGGAGCCTAAGGGATATGACAATGAGAAAGTCGTGTGGCTCAGTGGCAGAACATCTGCTTTTCCTGCAGGAGGTCTCATGTTTATCCCTGGCACCTGCATCGCAGGGGGTTGGCCTCCCTTCCAACTCTATGATTCTCTGATTCTGTGACAGGGGTCAGCAAACTTTTTCAGCAGGGGGCCGGTCCACTGTCCCTCAGACCTTGTAGGGGGCCAGACTATATTTTGGGGAGGAAAATGAACGAATTCCTATGCCCCACAAATAACCCAGAGATGCATTTTAAATAAAAGCACACATTCTACTTGTTATGTACTGAAGTTCTCACCCTGGGGATACTGTAGATAGTTATGCAAATGAAGGATTGAAAGTGACGTTCAGTGATTGGATAGTTTTAGAAAGTTGTTACAGTAACGTGGTACTGGAGCTCTATATAAGCAGGCTGACTGAGCCCTTCAGTTCAGTTCTGTCCTGGCCTGTGAATAAACAAGAGCTGTTTGAAGAATCGCTGTGTCGTCTGATATGTTCACCCACAACTTAACACTACTGACGCTGATTCCCGGACCGTCCGCGGGCCGGATTTAGAAGGCGATTGGGCCGGATCCGGCCCCCGGGCCTTAGTTTGCCTACCCATGCTCTATGACCTTCAGACAGGACTGAGTGATGACTTCTACAAAGTTATTGGCATACCCTGTCCAAATTCAGTAGCAGAAAGACTAATAAGAATGATAGTAGAATCACAGAATTGTAGTGTTGGAGGGGTCATCTATGTCAGTACGACTTTCAACCAAAGTCAAGTGACTGGGCTAAATAACTGGTTCTGCCCCGACTGGAGCCCTTTCAGAGACCTTCCAGTCCTGGAGAGCAGGTCCCAGTGCACTGGATTCACAATTTGCACGATTCGCATTGTGAGCACCAGACTCCGCAGAGTATAAATAACGCCGAAGCTAGCTGTGAAGCATAACTTCTTGTATTTCTAATAGCTACTACAGAACTACTGGCTTGCATGAGTGTTACAGCTCCCACTCAGTCATCTAGTCACTATGTAGATAAGACTCTCTCCATACACAGAGTCAGGCAGTCAAGCAGGAGTGGAAGAGTAGAAGGGCAGTTTCCTCCCCTCCTTTCTCAAAACATCAGATCAGGAGATTCTTGCAATGGGAGGGGGTGAAAATATCAACAATCTAGTCCAATCCTGATTGATTGATTGATTAACTCATTGATTGACTGATTGATTATTATTTCGTTAAATTTCTATACTACCCTTCATCTGAGGATCACAGGGCAGTAATCATCGTCATCGTCGTCATCTGCTTTCCCATCTGTCTGTTTCTCAGCTCATTTTCCAGCTACACCCTTGCTCTTTCCCAGAGGGCAGCCTCTTTCTCATATCTTGCCAGCAAGGGTACTAGACCATCATGTTTAGCCAGTTTGCTTAGCCCTGCTAAGATGTTTGTGATGGATAAGAGTACAAGCTCCAGCTCTCTGTGAGGCTCATTAAACAGAACTGGTGCACAGAGACCACACCAAGACCATTGCTTCCTTGCTGAAATCCCCCAAATTACCATTCCTCAAACCTGAACTTGCCTTGAACTGCTAGGCCTAATGGTCTTCATCTTCATTACGGGATAATATAGTGCAAAAGTGCAGATCTCTGTAAGTACTCTTGAAATGTGACTTATTAGGAGGAAGCTCAGTTCTAGTAATACAAATACACTCTTGGTTAAAGTGCTGGCACTCGAGTAATGGAGACTCTGTTAGTTTCTCATATATCTTAAAGGAGCATTAAAGGGAAGGCTCAGTGCTTTGCATGCTCAATCCTGGTATCTCCAGGCAGGCTCGGGAAGAGCTCTGCCGCTCAGTGCAGACTGAGCTACGGCACTTTCTGAAATGACTGTTGTCTGATTTGAGACTAACAGTGCTGGATTAAATGCCTCGATGCGACTGAGCCATGTTCAGGAAATCCCGATCCTCTGTAGCCTACACATACTAGGTTCATCTTGGCTTGCAATCACACGTAAACAAAAAGGAGCAGGCACCCTGTCACAGCGTTAAAGGGAAGAGCAATCCTAAGGATATAAACCTTGTGGGTGGTACTTAAAGGTAAAGGGACCCCTGACCATTAGGTCCAGTCATGACCGACTCTGGGGTTGCGGCGCTCATCTCACTTTATTGGCCGAGAGTGCCGGCGTACAGCTTCCAGGTCATGTGGCCAGCATGACTAAGCCACTTTTGGTGAACCAGAGCAGCGCATGGAAACGCCGTTTACCTTCCCGCCGGAGCGGTACCTATTTATCTACTTGCACTTTGGCGTGCTTTCGAACTGCTAGGTTGGCAGGAGCAGGGACAGAGCAACGGGAGCTCACCCCGTCGCAGGGATTCGAACTGCCGACATTCTGATCAGCAAGTCCTAGGCTCTGTGGTTTAACCCACAGCGCCACCCGTGTTGCGTGGGTGGTACTTATGTCAGTTTAAATCAAGCCAATGAGATTCAGGGATCATAGAATCATATACAGTGGTACCTCAGGTTACAGACGCTTCAGGTTACAGACGCTTCAGGTTACAGATTCTGCTAACCCAGAAATAATACCTCGGGTTAAGAACTTTGCATCACGATGAGAACATAAATCGCGCAGTGGCGGCGCGGCGGGAGGCCCCGTTAGCTAAAGTGGTACCTCACGTTAAGAACAGTTTCAGGTTAAGAACGGACTTCCAGAACAAATTAAGTTCTTAACCTGAGGTACCACTGTAATTGTAGACTTGGAAGGTAGGGTGGAAGTGTTGGGTTTATTTGGCGAATTTCCAGAAAGCTTGAAAAAGTCGTGTTTTGAGGAGATTTTGCTCAACAACTTTTGTGTCTGGGTTTTCACTTCTTGAAATATGGCAACCCTATTGGAAGGGACCCTGAGGATCACCGATTCCCACGCAGGGATTGAACCCGCAACCTTGGCCTTATCAGCACCATGCTCTAAGCAGCTGAGCAATCCAGGATAAATTACAGTTGGGGAACCTGCAGATTTCCAGATATTGCTGGACTATGACTCCCATAATCCTTGACCATTGGCCACGCTGGCTGGGGCTGATGGGAGTTGGAGTCCATCAACCCCTGGAAGGCTGCACATTCTCCTCCCCTGAAAATCTTCTTAACACTTTCCCTTTCATTTTACTGGACCCTGCAAGGCATAGGCAAATTAATCCTAGCTGAAGTTGATATTAAAATAAGCGATGCCGCCGTTTTAGGTTGATTTATCTTGGAGGTTATCAAGTGGCAAGCCGCTGTGATCTGCTTGGTGACTTTTGGAATTGCTAATGTCAAAATCGGAGGAAATTGCACCGAAGAGTTATCCCATTTGGGCACCAGCGGTTGTTATTTATTCAGGCACGTACCGAGTTATCATCCAAATGCTCCTCTTGAATAAAGGCTCTAGGATTTCATAAATTTGGCAGATCCGAACTTTTATCAGACAGCACGATTTGCATGTGATTACAGACTAGGTGTAGATTATGCAAAATTGGATCTTTTATCTACATTCTTTCGGATTTATACACTGCCGGTGAAAATATAAGGAGGATATTAAAAGGGCAAGGTGGCACAAAGAAGAGGACAAATCTTCCTTCCTCATCAGCTATCGTTACCTTCCAGTGTGACCAAGCAATTGAATCCAGGGCAGGTGAAGGCATGGGGCAGAAAGGGGTCGGTCAAACAGCTCCCATTTGTCCAGGACACTTCCCAGGCAAAGGAACGTACACAGCAGACGGTTAACGTTTTATTATTATAAAAGATAACACAGTCGATTCTACAGCTCTGGATACCTGAGTACACCAATCTAACCTCTAGGTCCACACTGGGACGCTCCACCCCACCAGTTTATGTACCTTCTCCGGGTGGGCTGTGTGCATGCAGCCGGAGACTTACGCCTGCGTGGAAACGTCCTCTGCTCCTCCCTTGACAGTCCTCTCCTGGTTCTGGGAGACAGTGGTGCAGGAGTGTGTGTGAGGGAGCACCTGGTCCTTCACTTGCCTGACCTGCCTTTTCCTCTTCTTCTTCTGATCCTTCCTGTGTCCTACCCTCCAACTCTCAAGCTTCCCCTGCCTCCTGGGTGGTACAGTTCCCCACAATTCAGTGGCCCCTTTTCCTGAGTCAAGACTCCGGCCCCACTCCCCCCCCCGGTGCACACTTGCTAGCATTCTGTCGGTCCCTGACACCGTTGAGTTTTATGGCCCAAAGTAAATGCTTGCAATCGGGGGAGCCGTTTAAGCCTTTATGGGATACAGGAATCTCCTCCTACTCCAGGCATTCCTCTGCAATATATGGCCCTTACTTCTGCTCCTCTCCTCATCAAAATAATGGGCTTTTCGCTAATTAATGGTAAGAGACACCATTGGGAAATCTAAGAGAGATGCTTGTGAGCACCAGAAGATGCCCATTCCACAGAAGAAAAACTGCGGGTGCTCAGAACTTTTCTCTCAACAACAACAACAACAGTCAAAACATCTACACATGCTAGGGTTAACACGCATACTCAACAACTTTGGCCAAAACGAAAAGAAACCCAACAACCTTTGTGTCTGGATTTTCACTTTTTGAAACACAGCCCCTCTCCCAAACAGGCAATACTCCCAGCCCAATAAAAAGAACATAAATTAAAAACTGGGAGGGGCAGGCACCAAGAGGATGTGTGGGGGCACCATGGCACCCAAGGGTGTCGCATTGGGGGTCTAGGTGTATGTACAGAACCACAGATTAAACAGCATTATCCTAACAAGTACAGTTATACTTTGGCTGTCGAACCCCCCAAACTTGTACGTTTCGGGTCCCAAATGATCAAAAACCGGAAGTGAGTGTTCCGGTTTTCAAACGATTTTCTGAAGTCGAACGTCCAGCACGGCTTCCGATTGGCTGCAGGACGCTCCTGCAACCAATCGGAAGCCTTGCCTTGGTTTTCGAACAGTTCTGGGAGTCGAACAGACTCCTAGAATGCTTTCTGTTCTAGAACCAAGGTACGACTGTACACAAATCCACAGCACAAGGTGTCATGAAGGAGTGATTCTGTAAGCAAGTATCGCTGGGTGGGGCCCCTCAGACAGGTGTTAACAATTAGTCTCCAAAGTGGGAACAGGTGATGGGGCTGCCAGCATCCCTCCTCAACCCATATAAATCTTTGAGTTAACCTGCTGAGGGAGGGAGAGAACATGCCATAGATTAGACTGACATTTGATGCCAGAGAAGACCGTTTGGTGCCTATGTGTGAGTTATTAGAAGAAGAAGAGTTTGGATTTGATATCTCGCTTTATCACTACCCGAAGGCGTCTCAAAGCGGCTAACATTCTCCTTTCCCTTCCTCCCCCAGTGAGGCTGAGAGACTTCAGAGAAGTGTGACTGGCCCAAGGTCACCCAGCAGCTGCATGTGGAGGAGCTGAGATGCGAACCTGGTTCACCAGAGTACGAGTCTACCACTCTTAACCACTACACTACACTGGCTTGGTGGGAGGTCTCGGGAAAGCGACCCCCTCCATAAAACAAGGTATGTATTTATTTTGCATAAAATTCCAGTAGTTTCTACTGACTGAGAGGGAATCAGGCTGCTGCGTTCTCTTCTCTGTTATCAGTATCAATTCAGCTGCTTGACCTGAAACAGATTTGAAAAGTCCTGTTTTGTTCCAACAGTTCAGCGATAACGATAAAAAAGTAAGGCTGCTTTGCGAATGAGCGGAATAACAAAGCCCCATAAACTGCTGCTGTCTAGCAGGCATCTCCTGCTTTGCTTTCATAGAATCATAGAATCATAGAGTTGGAAGAGACCACAAGGGCCATCGAGTCCAACCCCCTGCCAAGCAGGAAAACACCATCAGAGCACTCCTGACATATGGTTGTCAAGCCTCTGCTTAAAGACCTCCAAAGAAGGAGACTCCACCACACTCCTTGGCAGCAAATTCCACTGTCGAACAGCTCTTACTGTCAGGAAGTTCTTCCTAATGTTTAGGTGGAATCTTCTTTCTTGTAGTTTGGATCCATTGCTCCGTGTCCGCTTCTCTGGAGCAGCAGAAAACAACCTTTCTCCCTCCTCTATGTGACATCCTTTTATATATTTGAACATGGCTATCATATCACCCCTTAACCTCCTCTTCTCCAGGCTAAACATGCCCAGCTCCTTAGCCGTTCCTCATAAGGCATCGTTTCCAGGCCTTTGACCATTTTGGTTGCCCTCCTCTGGACACGTTCCAGTTTGTCAGTGTCCTTCTTGAACTGTGGTGCCCAGAACTGGACACAGTACTCCAGGTGAGGTCTGACCAGAGCAGAATACAGTGGCACTATTACTTCCCTTGATCTAGATGCTATACTCCTATTGATGCAGCCCTGAATTGCATTGGCTTTTTTAGCTGCCACTGTTTACTTCCTGCAATAAAGATGCACAGCAGGTTAAACTGGGCCCACCCTTCTGGCACAGCATTTGATATGACAAATCAGTCAACCACTCGTTTCTGCTCTTATCTGCAAAGGTCTGCTGTCACTAGCAGTGCTGCTTTGTCTTTCCCCTTCCATAAATGTTTACAGATTGAATAGCTGGTCTTTGCTTATGTGGTCTGCTTCCATTGGTCTAGTAGCAGGCTGTTTTCTCTTTTGTCTCTTAATGTTTGGCTTCCTTGTCAGGCTTGTGTCACACAGAAAGGGTGTTCACACAAGGCAGCCAACAAGTGTATAGTCTGAGCTGTTAGATGTGTTATCTGCATCTAACATGCCCAATAAATGTGGGGTGCCTTTGCCCGGTGGCACTGTGGCCCACTGATAGCAGCAAAATACAGGGCAAGGTTTTGCCCAGAATCTCGTTTGTGTGGTGGGCTCATAGGAAAAAGTTGTCCCATGAGCCCAGGATTGGCACCTGGTTGTGGTTTTTCCGCCTTTCAGTGAAATTATGGCCTTCCTTCGTTAGGCGGAAGAATGTTGTTTGTATGAGGGCAAAAATGGCATTGGGCAGGATCAACATAGTATAGCCCGACCCCCAAGAGGGGCCTGAGAGGACGATGGAGCATGGCACCCACAAACTCCATGTTGGGGCCTGGTAGGAATCTGCACCCTGGTCACCCAGCGAGACCTTGCTTGACTTGTACTATGGCAAGGTTCTGTTAGGATATTTCCGTTCCACCTTAAAAGGGAGCAGGCTTTGTGAGTCAGAGTCTGCGTATTTCCTGTTCACAGGATGTTTATGTTTTCTGTTGCTTTCGTTTTCTCTCTGGTGGCGCAGACACTAAAGCAGTCGGTCATGTTTTTCTGTGTTCTGATCAACGCTGAATAAACTTGTAAATAATGCTCTCCTGGGTGCAACTTTTGGCTGTGCTAATTGCTGATACAGTGTGCATGAGCTCTGGAATGTGGCAAGAAATCTTCTAGAAACTCATGTCGCTAATTGTTGATACTGCGTGACTACGGGAGGTCGATGGATCGTCCGGCAGACGGCTTGGGGGCCATGATGGACTTTATCTCCCTGGCAGTATCCCAACAACAGGTTTCGGGCCCAGATTCACAGCACTTACAGGAGAGTAAGACTGCGACAGACTGCTGAAAGGTATGTGGAAGAAAAGCGAAAGTGAGGCTTTTCTGTTTGCCGAGGCAAGGGCCTTTGAACTCCGGCAGATTAATGGATCTGGGAGACGCGCCCAGAAGGCTTCGTGATTAATGAGCTGCTAAGATAAGGGGTCTTTGAAGTGAATAAGACTCACGGCTCAAGTAGAAACCTGGAATGGAGTTTTTCCAGGCTTCTGAGGCTGCTGCGTGCCCAAAGTTGAATCGGCACAATTATGGGACCTGGGCTGTGTGGTGTGAGAGCTTGCTGCGTCAGTTTGGAGTGTGGCATACTGTGTCTGAAGCCCCTCCAGTTCCTCTGACAGATAGATGGGAGGCCGAAAATTCGAAGGCGGTAGATATAATCGTCTTGTCCGTCTCTCTGGAGGAAATAAAAACGCTAGCTGGCAATCTGACTGCACGAAAGATGTGGCATGCTTTGAAGATGGCCCATCTGCCAGTCATCCCAGCCCAGAGTTTGACTGCATCGGAGGTCCTGGCTGTTTCCCAGAATGCGAGTGAATGCAGGGATGCTGAGGGCACCGGTTGCAAGCTGCAGGGGAGCTGACTGTCACGTCATCCCAGGCAGCATTCCAGCCTCCAGGGGAGCCAAGGAGTCGGCAGCTGAGAGCTCTGTTTCTCGTGGGAGCCAAGGTCATCGCCTTTGCAGAGGCCGGAAGGGCAAAGGTAAACAGAGGCAGACGCCTGCAGATGGCCAGAAGCAGAGGGAGGGTGAAGAGCCCACGCCAGAGGAAAACAAGGTTTTGTTTGCTGGCAAAGCTTCACCAAAGGCTAAAGGCAAGTCTGATGGCCAGGAGCAGGGGGGCAAGCTGCAAAAGCCCACGCCAGTGGAAAACAAGGTTTTGTTTACTGGCACAGCTTCACCAAAGGCTAAAGGCAAGTCTGATGGCCAGGAGCAGGGGGGCAAGCTGCAAAAGCCCACGCCGGTGGAAAACAAGGTTTTGCTTGCTGCAAAGGCTGCTCCAAAAGCCAAGGCCAGGTTTGTTGTTGATTCAGGCTGTACCCGCCATATCTCAAAGGACCGCCACCTATTTATCTCCTTCAAACCTCAAGAAGGTGAGATCCACCTGGCTGATGGAAAGACGTTGCGAATTGCGGGAGAAGGGACTGTGAAACTGGCAAGTCTGCACACGACCATCAAAGATGTACTGTATGTTCCAGGCGCTGCAGACAATTTGCTCAGTGTCCCACAGTTGACTGGGCGTGGTTTTGAGATTTCCTTCAAGAGGAGCGTCTGTGTCATCAGAAAAGGCAAAGAGGACATTTTGCATGCAAAGTTTATGGATGGCTTGTTCTGTATAACTTATGACGACAATGGTGCTGTTGTGTCTAATGCTGATTCTTGTTGTGTTGCACAAACTAACAAAGTTCTTCATGCAGGATGCATTCACGATGCACATCGAAGGTTTTGCCATCTCTCTTGGAAGGCACTGGCCAAGATGCCAGAGATGGTTGAGGGTTTGAACATCAAACCCTGTAAGTTTCACATGAAATGTGTATCTTGTGCAGAGAACAAGGTGAAGGTTGCTCCAAAAGGCAAGGAGTCTAGCAGGCAGGCTTCCAAACCCTACCAGCTAGTGCACGCAGACCTGGTTGGTCCACTTGCGCCCTCTTTGGGTGGAGCAAGGTACTTCATGGTTCTAATTGATTCTTTTTCCAGGTACATTCATGTGTTTATGCTCGAGCAGAAATCGCAAGCGTTTCCTAAGTTCAAGGCATTCTGTGCTTGGTTGGACAATGTTCATGGTAAACGCATTGGCTGTCTGTTTACTGATCGAGGCGGGAGTTCACTTCTCAGCAGTTTGAAGCTTTCCTGACTGAGAAGGGAATCCAGCATAGCCTCTCAAGTCCTGGATCTCCATGGGAGATTTGTGAGCAAGCAAAGCAAACGTTGCTGCAAGGACTGAAAACATTGTTGCATGATGCCAATCTCCCTGAGAAGTTTTGGGGGGAGTCTTTGAACTCGTTTGTTTACACTTTTAATCGCAGGTTGTCATCACCTATTGGTTGTACTCCCTATGAGAAGATGTTTGGTAAGAAACCCAACATCAAGCACATGAGAATCTTTGGTTCTGACATGTGGGTACACACCCCACAGAGCAACAAGCTTGGGAAGCGTGGGGCACATGGTTTGTTCATGGGGTACGAAAAGGTGCATACAGGGTATGGATGACCAACTCTAAGTCCATTAAGTTCACAAAGAGTGTTGAGTACAATCCTAAGTGGGGGGAAAATGTGGGAATTTTCCAGAGTTACCCAGAGGAGGATGAAGGTGATGTCAAAGAAGCAGCTAAAGCTGAGGAAGCTGCTGAGGATGATGATGACGATGATGATCAGAGTTCGGATTCCAGTTCAGTGGGCGGCGCTGCTGCTGGTGTCAGTGACAGTGATGACACAGCAGACTACAAGAGCGCAAAGGCCTCAGTCAGACCATCTGATGCGTCTGACAATGAACTGGAAGAACCACTGTTCACCATTGGTCACTTTTCTCCTAAGAAGGAGGAGATGAGTCCAGAAGACTTGCGTCTAGTACGCAGATCTGAGAGAGCCACCAAGGGCAGACCTCCAAAGAGATTTGCTGATGAGTTTGCTAAGACAGCAACTGCTGTTCTTAGTAGCTCAGAGAAGGTATGGGAACCTTCAAGCTTCAAAGAGGTTCAGGAGTTAACCTCTAAAGATGCTGAGCCTTGGCTTAATGCCATGAAGGCTGAAGTTGATTCCTTGAACAGGAACCAAACTTGGGAACTGGTACCGGTAGTCCCAGGAATGAGACTGGTTGGCAGCAAATGGGTCTTCAAGGCCAAGACAGACCAGAATGGCAAGGTTGTCAGACACAAAGCCAGATTGGTTGCCAGAGGTTTTTCACAGGTACCAGGACAGGATTACCACGAGACCTACTCACCCACCGTCAAATATGAGAGCATTCGGCTGATGCTCAAGATAGCTGCAGAGGAGAAACTGCATGTTTCCCATCATGACATTAATACAGCTTTTTTGTACGGGATTCTGGGGGAGGAGCTGTTTATGCTTCCACCTGATGGGATGCAGATACAGAAGGGAATGGTCTGTAAACTGCGGAAATCCTTATATGGTCTCAAGCAGAGTGCCAGGTGTTGGAACACAAAACTCACTGAGACGTTGCTTTCTCTAGGTTTTCACCAGGGCAAAGCTGATCCATGTGTGTTTGTCAAGGAGGAGGGGCAAAACAAACTGTATTGTTTATGTTTTGTTGATGATCTTCTGATGTTTTGGAAGAATCAGGCTTTCTACCAAAGCACCCTAGCTCAGCTGAAGGAGCACTTTGACATGAAGGATCTTGGTGAGGTATCCAACTATCTTTCTCTGCAGGTGGAGAGGGACCAAGCAGGTAATTTTCTGGTACACCAAACACAGAAAATTGCTGATGTATTAACCAGGTTGAATTTGGTTGATGCAAACCCAGCAGACACACCGATGGTGACAGGTTACCAGGTAGACAGTACTGCTGAAGCGTTTTCTGACACAACGCTGTACAGATGCATTCTAGGCAAGTTGAATTTCATTGCTAGATGCTCAAGACCTGACATAGCTGTAAGCACTAACCTGCTTAGCAGACATGCCAACAATCCTACTGTTCAGGATTGGAAAGCTCTGAAGCGCATAGCCCGCTATTTGAAAGGGACTTTGCACTACAGGCTGAGGTTCACCAGTCAGAAGACTGGAGGTCTTGAAATCTTTGCAGATGCAAGTTTTGGAAGTGACACCACGGATGGTACAAGCACTTCTGGAGTATGCTACATGTACAACCACTGCCTGTTTGACTGGTTGTGCAAGAAGCAGACGACAGTGAGCCTAAGTTCCTGTGAAGCAGAACTCAATGCTCTGTCATTTTCACTCATGGATTGTGAATGGTTGATGCAACTGTTTAAGGACATCAGAGTTTCTGTGAAATGTCCTGTACAAGTGTATCAAGACAATAGATCGTGTTTGGCTTTGCTGAACTCGGAGAGTTGCAAGCAAAGGACCAAGTACTTGCAGATTAAGCTACATCGTGCAAGAGAGTGTATTCAGAAAGGACTCATTCAGGTGTCCTACATGCCAGGAAATGAAATTCCTGCTGATCTGTTGTCTAAGGTTGTTAACAGAGAACAACTTAAGGTTTACGTACAAAGGTTGCAATTGGGTTGAACCACAGGTACTACAGGTTACACGGAAAGGGGGAGGATGTTAGGATATTTCCGTTCCACCTTAAAAGGGAGCAGGCTTTGTGAGTCAGAGTCTGCGTATTTCCTGTTCACAGGATGTTTATGTTTTCTGTTGCTTTCGTTTTCTCTCTGGTGTCGCAGACACTAAAGCAGTCGGTCATGTTTTTCTGTGTTCTGATCAACGCTGAATAAACTTGTAAATAATGCTCTCCTGGGTGCAACTTTTGGCTGTGCTAATTGCTGATAGAGTGTGCATGAGCTCTGGAATGTGGCAAGAAATCTTCTAGAAACTCATGTCGCTAATTGTTGATACTGCGTGACTACGGGAGGTCGATGGATCGTCCGGCAGCCGGCTTGGGGGCCATGATGGACTTTATCTCCCTGGCAGTATCCCAACAGGTTCAACACCGGCCAACTCCCATGGAACAGATTTGGGTTGGTCCAAACCCAGAGGATCCATTCCATCAAATGGGGCTTGTAGAATTATGAACTGGTCCTGGGTCCCCGATCCCATAACAACTCTTACCCTGCCTGCTGCTGTCAATACAGATTTGGCCTGATTTTATCCCATCACCGTTGTACAATCTTGTTCCCTGCTCCCCTGCTCTCATGGGTCACACAAAATGCCTGCTGGGCAAACAGCATATGAACCTCTGTATGCAATTGTTCCAAAAAGCGTACACTATTTTACACAAACAATTGTACAGTTGTACCTTGGTTTTCGAAGTCCATTTGACTTCTGAAAATGTTAGACAACCAAGGCGCAGCTTCTGATTGGCTGCAGGAGCTTCCTGCACTCAATCAGAAGCTGTGGAAGCCACGTCGGGCTTCCAAAGAATGTTCGGCTTCCAAAGAATGTTCGCAAACTGGAACACTCACTTCTGGGTTTGCGGTGTCTGGGAGCCAAAACATTCGAGTTGCAAGGTGTTGGGGATCCAAGGTATGACTATACTTATGTAGAGACCACTTGCACCTGTATTCAGTGTAATATGTAAACAGACCTGTAGCGACATTTAAAAATAAAACCTACATACAGTTAGAGCTCAATAATTATTTCACTATTAATATACTTCTTCTTAATTGTATTTCAGTTCAACAATTGCTTTGATAAAATACATATTTTGTTATGTGCAAATGGCTTTAGATACCTATTACAGTGGTACCTCGGGTTAAGTACGTAATTCGTTCCGGAGGTCCGTTCTCAACCTGAAACTGTTCTTAACCTGAAGCACCACTTTAGCTAATGGGGCCTCCTGCTGCTGCCGTGTCGCCGGAGCACGATTTCTGTTCTCATCCTGAAGCAAAGTTCTTAACCCGAGGTAATATTTCTGGGTTAGCGGAGTATGTAACCTGAAGCGTATGTAAGCTGAAGCATATGTAACCCGAGGTACCACTGTAGGTCCATAAATTACCGTGTAGCATATATTCAACACAAAAAACAGGGACAATTTGTTGTTGACAAAGGACAGCTAGGTATATAAAGGGCCCCATTACCTTCAGTAGCTTAGGGCCTCATCAAACCTAAATCCGGCCCTGGGAGAGGGTCAGGGCTGCCTGGGAGTGGGCCCCAGCCAACAGAATGGATGGGGCAGGTTCCATGGGGGGGGATGTGCTAGGACACCCGATCTCAGTGATCATGGGTAGCAGGAGGAGTTACGCTAAGACTAGACCATGTCATTACCAAGGAGGCAGGTTTAGCCATAGTTTGAAGACTATCCCTGCCTCTGAGTCTGGCTTTGACTGGAAATACTGGAATCAACAAAGGAGACCCACATGACCTGAAGGTGCTGCTATGCAATGTCAGGTCAACGATTCACAAGACCTCTGTCATCCGCGACTTGATCATGGATGGAGGACTTGACCTGGCATGTGTAACAGAGACTTGGCTGGATGAAGCAGATAGGCCTGTTCTTGCCGCTGCTTGTCCACCAGGTTTCTCTTACGCACAGCAACCCTATTCATGTGGGCGGGGGGAGGGGGGTTTGCAGTGATTTTTAGGAAGTCATTAGTTTGCACCAGGCGTCCTATTGGGAAGTCCCAGTTTTCTGAGTGCGTGTTCTGGAAGTTGGGCAATAGGGGCAGTATAGGATTCCTTTTGGTGTACCAAAAGTTGCTCTATACTTAAAGCAGGGGAAAAAAATATTACTCATCTCTCACTCCAGGTAGGGAGATGATGAGGAAACGTGAACATCTCTTGGGATGAAAAGAGATCAGCAGGCCTGTGCTTTAATGTCTTTCTGCCTCTCTACCATGTACACTTTATTTATAGGTTTTATTTATGTAGCCTCGGAGCCTCCTGGAAAATACAGGCCTGGGACAATATTTTCCTTGATGAAGAAACCTGCCACCTTTATCATCTGGAAATGTGACAGGCTGAACCATGATTCACTCGTGCAACATTCCCCCCTTTTGGATCTTCTAACGCATTCCTGTGCAACATGAAGCCCGTGGACCAATTGAAGATGCCTCCCTGATTACTGCAGCTCTTCCTGGGAGAATTAATTCCAAATGCTCCCTGTTTGCCACCCATTTCCACCTTTGATGGAGGAGTGTGGGGGTTTCAGGCCTGTTCCTCTTCTCTCCCGTTTGAGCTCTATGTTTTCAGACCTTCATTCTGAGGGAACCGAACCCTGGCCACCCCTAAAGTCTCGCTGCTCAAAGACTGGGGTTTGTGCAACAGATGTGCTAATAGAGGGCAATGAGAACCTTGGTGGTGCAGAAACAGGGTTTTAACAGAGAACGGTTGAAAAAAGAAACGCTGGGTTCAAATGGAAATAAAACTGCCTTCCCTTGGTGACAATGTGCCCTTTCCCAAGCTAGTAAAGCAGAAAAATGGCCCTTAGAGTGATTTAGGTCGTGTAGAACCTGCTCTGCTGACCTCTGAACTTTAAAGCCGCTGTCACGATCCAGGGCATGGGCAGAAAGAGTCCGGGACTGACATGCTGAGACCAGGGCTGGCAGCAGTCTGACTGGCGGGTCCACAGTCAGGAGCAAGTCCAATGGATGCCAGGATGCAGAATAACGGGGGATGGGGAACTGGCACTGGCCTACAGCATGGCATGAAACCACATTGCTGTTGCAAAGACTAGGGGTGAAATGCAGGCCTTATATAGTCCTCCTGAGCTTGCCAACCAGGTGATTGATACTGTTAGTTTCTGTTTTGCCACTGTGCAGCTGCTTAGAGTCACAAGGCTCTGTTTACATTCCAGAGACAGTCCAGGCTGTTGGGAGTTGCATGGGAGACGGATGTGACGTTACTGGTTTCCTGTTCCTTTGTTTCAGTTGCTCTCTGCTTTCACAGAGAGAGGATGTATATTTCTTGGCTGTCTGCGTAGTAAGAAATAAAGCATAGCGATGTAGCCATAAATCTCATCACTTCCCTGTGCTGGAAACTCTGCTGAATGGGAATGTGCCTGAGGCCTCATCAAAGGCTCAGGTCGTTAATTATCGTCGGAGGCGATTCCAAAGGACTCAGCCGGAGGAAAATGAGCTTTATCAGCTTGGCCGAGTGGAGATCCCAACAGATACAACCGTCCTCTGATCACGCCTGCTGGGCTGCACCTGCTTCCCCCAAGGCAGACACAGCCAGGGCCTGGCTCCTGCAAACACTTGCAGTGCTCTGGGCCTGGCTCCTGCAAACACTCATGGTGCTCTTTACAGCCACATTGTGACTCGGCTGAGTGACAGTAACATGTTGAGAACTACACGGGCGAAGCCTTTCCTCACCCAGTACTCAGCAGGCAAATCCCATGGTAGTTGTTAGTCACGGCAGCCACCTTTGTTCTTGTAGAGTTGTGCATGTCTTGTGGCACAAAGAATGGCAGGTTATAAATAAATCGGCACAGCTTCAATATTGTCAGATTCATTTCTGTTTGTGTGCACACAAGGGAGCAATGACAGGGCAGGGGTCGCCTTTACCCTATGCAAAGGCTGGAGACAAATTGGTGTGAAGCTGGTTTGAGAAACAACATCGAACGGAAGTATTTTATAACTAAGTACGGGATTCATGCACATTTTGGATAATGCTGTAGGAACACGGATTAAAAACCCAATGCTGGAGTTTGAAGGAAAGCTTAATATGGCTGCCAGGTTAGCTAACAAAAGAAATGTTTGTAACCTAGAATCCCTTAGTAGCCCCTATCTGCAGAAGAACAGGATCACCGTCAGTCTAAACCTTACCAGGGAGTAATCTGACCATAAAGTGGCATAGAAAAATCCCACAAACCCTGAGCACCATCCTCTATAAAGTAAAGATAGCAAACAGGGGGAAAAAACCCAGTGCCCTTTTTAGAATGTGACTATAGGGGAGAATTCCAGCAATCACACCTTGGAGCTTTCTTTGGGCACAAGAGGGGACTGGGGAGATGCAATGCTGGCCCCCTATTGGCTGGGTTTGGAAAGCACAATATACAAATCTGACACTAGATGGCGACAGTGAACTATGCCAAATTCAATGTATTTTTCAAAACATTTTTTTAAAAAAAGCATTTTCACAGCGTTTTTTAAGTGTGTGTAGATTCTACCTATCTTCTTGCTATGCTGCATCCTGTATAGCCAGCAACTGACCTCAGGGTATCTGGATCGGAGAACACACTCGGAGCCATTTTTTGGATATGGCTTCCTACCCTCCAGATGCTGAGTTCTTTTGCTGCTTGCTCTGATTTCTACATCTGATAATTAACTGAGAAGATCATTTTAATTCTGTGCATAGGAACCCTACATCCTTCATCTACATAGTCTATGTTCTTTGTCCAGAATAAATGACGCTATTTATCTAGTTAGTTAGCTTTCTAACTGACCCAATTATACACATTTGCATAATTTATGGTGGCTATTCTCCCTCCATTAAGCAAATATTTGCAATTTGTTTGGGTTGCGTGCATATTTATGTGGTCTGTAAATTGCTTGCCGGTATTGCTTTTAAATTTAATAAAAGCTCTTTTTTAAAAAAGCATAAAATAAATCCCCAAGCAATTCTTCAGCAGATGAAACCTGACAGACGTTAGAACAATAGAAATTCCGACCATGAGTCGAAAACGAGAAGTCAAAAAATGCTGAGCAACCTGTCGTTAATGATATCCATGCTGCTGACAAATGTTCTCTTTGCTGACACCCATTTCCATAAGAGGCCTCTTGAGCAGAACACTGAAAGGATCCAGCAATGTGGACATAACTCTGCTGGCCTTAACATAATTATTTCTGATTTGTA